CACACACACGCACACACACCTCTCCATCCGATCCACAGCCTCATGCGTATCTGGGACTTTTTAAAAGCGCGTAGACACGTGACCAGGTGCACCGGTTTCATAGACGCGACCTTAACTTCCTACTTAGACGAGATCTTTCTAAAGAAAAAAGAGATGATATATTTTTTGTAAACAATCTTTCTATCACAGGCATCCGTAGCCTGGAAGGACGGCCGTTATGCAAACAGATGTCACAGTGCAGTGAGCGCATTTGGAGAAGAAAGAAAGGGGGGAAAAGCAAGCTAGTCAGGACAGAACCGCCAAATTAAGACTTTTCTCCCCAAATGCCACTCACGCCTCGCCCTCTCCGTTCTGCCCCAGGACCAGGGTCAGCCAGCCCCCCATCGTAACCAGCCTTTGTCTGTGGGCGTCTCTAGCAGCCCAGAGCCCCCCGAGGGTAAACAGCCAGCCACAGGGTCTCACGCTAGAAGAAGGACCAGTTTTTATGGAACCCTTTCCCTTCCTTCATTCCTCCCTCCCCTCAGCATCTCCTCCAGGTCCTTCTCCCTGGGGGGCTTTTTCTCTAGAGACTCGCCAGTGACCTCTTTTAATTTTTGTTGATTTCAGGGAGGAAGGGAGAGGGAGAGAGAGAGAGAGAAACATCCATGATGAGAGAGAATCACGGATCGGCTGCCTCCCGCACCCCCCACATGGGGATCGAACCCACAACCCGGACCTGTGCCCTGGCCGGGAATCAAACTGTGACCTCCTGGTTCATAGGCCGACGCTCAACCACGGAGCCACGCCGGCCGCGCTGGTACCACTGTTCTCCGCTCACACCGAGCGACCACCTTTCCCAGCATGCTTAGGGTGTGGGCTCTCGTCTCGAGCCGATCATCACTAGGTTTTATTTTATTTTTTTTACATGCATTTTTATTGATCTCAGAGAGGAAGTGGGGCGGGGGGGAGAGAAACATCCATGATGAGAGGGAATCAGTGATCAGCTGCCTCCTGCACCCCCCACACTGGGGATGGAGCCCACAACCCGGGCCTGTGCCCTGACCGGGAATCGAACCGCGACCTCCTGGTTCACAGGTCAATGCTCAACCACTGAGCCACACCGGCCGGGCCCATCACTAGATCTTAAAGGCGGCCCTACCTTTGTGGGCGTCTCTGACAGCTCAGAACCCACTGTCGTCTGAAGCGAAGTCCGCAGTCTCACGCTAGAAGCAAGGACTGGCCTTCATGAAGCCCTTTCCCTTCCTTCATCCCTCCCTCCCCTCAGCATCTCCTCCCGGTCCCGCTCCCTGGGGGCATTTTTCTCTAGAGACTCGCCAGTGACCTCTCGGCCTCCGGCTGTTCTCTGACAGTTTTTCTTTTTCCCGTGGGCGACACTGGGGGAGCTTAGAAGTCAGACAGATCGGGGAGAAACCTAGTAAGTGGCCTTATCATTGTTAACACGTCACAGAAACAATGACCTTGGTCCCTTCCGATGCTTCAGGTGGCTTTTTCCGTACCCGGTCACTCAAGGAGGAGGGCCCCCCAAAACGCAAAGGAACGTGGACAGAAACCCAGTCATTGGTCGCTTTCCGTACGACGGGCACAGCTGTTGGGAACTGTGACATTCATCCTTCCTGGTAGAGCAGCGACTCACAACACCTCTGACGCGTTAGTGGAGGGATCCAAACATCCAAGGCAGAGACCCCCCCGGGGCTCAGAAGCGCGACAGTCGGCTTCCCAAGGTTTTCTGGATCTAAATTTGCATGGTATCATCCTAGTAGCTTTTGAGCTTTTTATATGCTTTTGGCACCAAGACGGGGACCCACAACTTTATAGACACTGCGATGAAGTCAACATAATAGCTCTAACTATAAATAGTGTTTATAACTACACACACGCACACGCACATGCACACGCACACACAGATACATACGTATATTCTGTAAAAAAAAAACACACAACTTTTTAAGATCCTTGGGTATGTGTTTGCTTTACTCCATTTCAGAAGAAAACGAGTTTTCTTCCAATCCGATTATTTTATAGCTTCTCCATTTTGTAAACGTGGTGAGGCCCCCCCGAGACGCAGGACTCTGGCTGTGCTAGCGGGAGAGACTTGCGTCGGGTCCTCCGTCCGTCACGCGGACCTCTTGCCGCTACACAGCCCTTCCTGGCGTCGATGAGCGAGCCGGACCGATCATTCCGCACCCAGACCTTGGACGTTTCCTGCCGGGCGGCTGTTCCCCGCGCCCGGGCCTCTCGAGCGAGGAGAGACGGGTTGAATTTGGGATATCATGCTCTTTCTTTCTCCACAACTGAATGGAATAAAAAAAAAAGTTAATTTTTCTAAGTAGTCCTGTCTTTCCGAAATGCTTCCAAAGGGGCTCAAAATGTACAGACGAATCTTATTATGTCCGCGTCCAGATATACTTGAGACAATTCAAGAGCCCGGCTCCGTCACTCCCCGCGCACAAAGACGGACAACACTTGAGTCATCGGTGAAAACAGTGTTTGTTATGTTGTTCATCGATCTCCCCTCCCCCGCAGCCCCGGGCCCTCGAGAGAGGTTTCACTGTCTATACCATGAGCCATTCATTCCCCTCTCGGTATGAAACGAGCTAGGAAATATGTCATGAGGATGTTCTGTTAGCACTGGAAATCACAAGTACACCTGCAGTAGCGGGGTTTGCTGGGTTTTTTTAAAAAATATTTTTATTGATTTCAGGGAGAGAAAGGGAAAGGGAGAGAGGGACAGAAACATCCATGAGAGAGAATCATGGATCGGCTGCCTCCCTCATGCCCCCCAATGGGGATCGAGCCCGCAACCCGGGCCTGTGCCCTGACCAGGAATCGAACCCTGACCTCCTGGTTCCTAGGTGGACGCTCAACCACGGAGCCACGCCGGCCGGGCAGTAGCGTGTGTTTGTAACGCCAGCACCCGGAACCCTCGACATGGCCAGTCATTCCCGTGGAAGGCGCTCCTCCCCTGCCCAGCTCTGGCATTATTCCCACCCAGGGAATTCCAGGGGTGACGCCAAGTGGGTTTGGGGCTGGTTTTAAGGGGACAGGAACCTCCCAGCCGTAGAATCTCAATCTCAGCGTCTGGGAGAGCGTCCCATGGGTGTGGGTCCCACGAGGGGGACCTAAGAGAGAGAACAGGTCCAACTTGGGACCCGGAGTTCTTTCTTTGTCGCCCCGAGAACCTCCCGAGCCTGGATCACCCACCGGCCTCTCTCCCTGAGGGCCCAGCCCCGTGAACGCGGTTGGTCATTCTCGTCCTGCTGTGTTTCTGTGCCACGTCAGCGGGTCGGTCCCAGGTAAATACAGGCCTGCCCGCGGGGACAGGCGATGGCCGTCGCGATCAGTTCCCAGCCCCGTGAACGCGGTTGGTCATTCTCGTCCTGTTGTGTTTCTGTGCCACACGTCAGCCGGTCCTTCCCAGGTAAATACAGGCCTGCCCCGTGGGGACAGGCGATGGCCGTCGAGATCAGTTCCCCTGAGGATGTCCTCTCGCTGTAAAGATAAAACCCAATTTTGCTTACGCACAGAATGGATGTCATTCGGGGCGGGAGGTGGAGGGGGGGTGCATGTAGCATTTGACATGAAAAAAACAACTAAACAGCAGCATTGAGTGATAGGTACCATCTGAAACTTGTGGATGAGCAAATTCCAATTTATTAAAGGACGAAGGGACTTCAATGTGAAGCTGAATTTATTGTTGCTACCGTGGCCCTCGGACGCTGAAATGTTCAAACTCGGCCCAGATGCGCGTTCCCAGCGTGGGGCGCCCGCCCACTGGGGGGGGCAGTTTGATGTTAAGGGGGGCCATTCGAGAATGCGTCATTAACAGTGCATGTTTTGCATTTCTTAGGGTTCTAGGGGCCTCATAGACCGTTTATACATATATATTGTGACCTATCTATGCATCTCAGTTCTCTGTTATATGTTTTGAAACTTTATTTGCTATTTTCTCATATCCCTTCATATTATTATTATTATTTAACAATTCCTTAGTGAGTTCTTCCTAAGTACGCCCTTTTGTTTTTCATGGACACCATGTTCTTTGGAAGCTTGTTTAGACCGAGTTCATGGCCTTAGAGGCTTCCTCCACATGAACAGGAGCTCACTTTGTGGATAATAAGAATTCTGTGTGTGGGGGGGTGGGGGGCAGGATGTTAGAGATGCTCAGGGGGGCGTGGCCAGAACAA